ATAAGGCCTCGTGTGAACCACTAAGCCATATGATTCACCATCATGATAAATCATCCTCATATTCATGAGGAATTATCAGCCCATAAGAGTGTGCCCAATGTTCTCACTAAAATGGATACCCACATGCTCAGTGATGAGGGTAATCAATCCCCCGATCATTATTTTTCCAGTGGGAGAATTGGCAATGTGGCTTAGTTGTTTAGCAAGGTTGACAAAAAATTAACAGTGTAGTTGTTTATCATAGTAAGGGGGAGGTAGTATCTCTTAAGGTAGTAGACCATGTGCTATCTCCTCTAACGAATAAAGTGTGTGCAAGGATGGTATGAATGTACATAAAAATAGGGTTCAGGATACGAGGGGCCTTGCCAATCTTTGCAAAATATGGGGCTTCTCCAAAAATATGGGCCCATATTTCATTTGCTAAAAAACAATTGGGGACGTCACCCTACCCATCAGTAGGAAGGTGCAAAATGTCCCCCAAGGCTGCAACATGGATCTCATTATTAGAAACATGCATATGAAAAATCAAGATGTAAATTGTTCTTAATTTGGCCCCTTTATCCGAGGACCCATACGGTACCTTAAAGGTTTAATCTCTATAGTACACAAGAACCCTAAGGTAAGACTTACGTATACCAGAAAGTCACTGTACAAGATAGTGCAACCCTAATTTGTATGGAGCCGCCTCTAACATATTTCTTCAAGTGGATTTACTATATGAGGTGCCTAATCTCCTTTATGAGATGGTAGTTGTGTAAATGTGATATGTAACCTAAGAAGGGGGAAATTAAGGTTGTCCGACTTTTCTCGTTTTTTCAAAAACAATTCTTAACTTCTTATTTTTCCTGAATTTATGAATATGTTAGGTTCTTAGGATAATAAAGTGCATAAAATTAAAGTGTTGGAAAATAAAGAACACAAGGAAATTATACTAGTTCTCCTTATCAACCAAAGGCACACTTAATCCCTTCAAAACTTGAAGGATTTTCCACTATGTTAATTTCATGAACAAGTTTCACACCAAGACTTCTTTACAGCCATTTAAAGCATACACATACATTAAACCTATGGTGGACTTTAAACCACCACAATTCAAAGGACTTTTTCACTAAACACCAAACACTATGGTGGACTTTAAATCAACCCAATTTAAGGAACCCTTTTCACAAAAAAAAAACACTATGGTGGACTTTGAATCAATCCAAATTAAAAGACCTTTTACACAAACAAATTATCACCATAAACTTGATGATAAAGTGTCAATAAAATTTTACAATTTTAATAAATTTGTTTTGGCTTGTATTCCAAGTAAATTATTCTTCTCTTTCTCTTGATCATAACTCAAACTTGTATAAATAAGTGCTCATAATGTTTAAATGAAACTCTTTGAATGATATGAAATTTATGCACAAAGTTTCATTATTAAAGTCGTATGAATACTTGAAAAATGATTTGAATTGTATGAAATTATATGTATGAGAGTGGTTTATTGAAATGTTGATGTATATATATATATATATATATATATATATATATATATATATATATATATATATATATATATATATATATATATATATATATATATATATATATATATATATATATATATATATATGTCCTAAGAAACCTCTATGAGAAGATGCATATGTATGAAACATTTTAGTGAAGCTTTTCCAAGGTTTAAAATGAATTTGGATCATAAAAAGTGATAATTTTACTATGTGTAATCGGTTACCAACAAAGTGTAATTGATTACCACTCTTCGAACATTCAAATTATTCAAACAGAACATCTAAAAGTGATTTTCCATTAATTACTTGCATCTAGTCATGCCATATGGCCTTGTCTATGCCTAGCGCGCCTATAGCCTAGCCTTAGCAAGCCTTGCTTCTTCAGGATTTTTCTTTTGCTTGTTTTCTACATGTTGATTTGTGTTTTCCTAGTTCTTTTTACCTGTTTTTTATTAATGAGTACAAGAAAAATCCCAAATAGGTGTTTTCTTAATTTTTAGAGATAAATCAGGGTGTTTTGTAATAATTGTGTGTGAAATAAGTCAATAAGAGCCAACGAGTTTAACGAAAATATGGAACTTACCAACTCTCCCCAACTCATCTTTTTGTTTGTCCTTAAAAAAATTATTAGATGATTCAAAAAATATTTCATGTTTCTTTTGATAGGTTGACTATCTTTGGGTTAAGAGTTTTGAAATTGTACTTATGACATGGTGTTCTTTTTCACATGCATGTTCATAATAAATATCATGATTATCCATGAATCATATCATACATATGAATAATTTTCTTTACCAAAGTAAGATTTTTAAAACATGTATAAATTAACAATTTGATCATTCATCAGAATCATGATTTCTCTGAGTATCTCTCAATGGTTAGTGTTTCCCTCAAAAATCCAGACAATGCATTTACTATAGTAATACTTTGTATTTCGTCTCAGTATTAGCGCAATATATATCATTAGTCATGGGTCACTATGGTCTTTATTTTAGGTTGTAATGTGGCAAGGCTTGCAAAAAATATTGGGTTTTCTTTGGATTTGAAAGCCCAAGGATAAGACAACGTAAGATATTTCTTTCCATATATTTCTCCTTCTTTATTTCTACTTTCTTATACGCATTTTATTGTGGTGCCATTTTTTTCTTTTGGTATGCTTGACATTTTGAATTTTGTCTTTGGTTTTTGTCAAAGCATTTTTCTTTCTTTCCATGCACCAATACTACTTAAGTTTCTTCTTTGAAACTTTTCCATTTTCATTTTCTCCCAAACTTTTATTTTTACATTTTTGCTTGCAATCTTGTCTTTAAGATAAGGTAGTGAACATTTTTTTTCTTTTCCAATTTGGATAAGGGTTGCAATTTTGAAAGAAAAAAAATAACTTTTCATTGTATGACTCAAAGAGGTTTGTCAAAGGATTTTTACCCTTACAAGGTAGGTTTTTTAGGTAGAGTAACTTTTTCACTCTATACAAACAATTCTTTGATCATATCCATGACTTTCAAACACATCAAGTAATTGGAAATACTAATGCAAAGTCTACTTAGTTAATATGCATTTTTACTCACAATATTCAAGTAAAACATGTGGTTGCACACTTCTAACCTGGGTAGAATTTATGATTCCTGACTCATGTCAACATGTTTTCTCTAGAACGTAGAAAAGTCAAACTTTGAATGAAGCAAAAAAAAATTCATAATCGTATTATTTTTCACAGATAGTTAGACATTAATTATGAATGAAACATTTAATGAGAAAAAACTTTTTTCATGCCATTTGATCCCTGACCTTTCATATCAACCTATTGCCAGTGGTTCTATGTATTTATTATTTTTTAGATCATTATCTGAATCATTTGCAGACAAACTTCCTCCGGGAGTACTTTAAAAAAAAAAATTTTGACTCTAAATCATGAAAACAATTTAAAACAAATATGTATAGGTTTAGTGAGGATCATATTTGAAATTCTCCACTTCATAAAACATTTGTCTATCTTCGGCCAATAAAATAAATGAGTGTTGTAAAGATATCTACACCTTGTGAGTGCACTTTCCCATAAGATGTTTTGTATGATGTTAAAACTAGGATAACCTTAGCATTTATGTATATTGAACGGTATCTCTGAGTTTTTATGTGCACATTTTCATTGAGGATCTTAGAATGTATTTATAAGATGTTTGGAAAAGGCATAATGCATTAAAAATCATTTTTTACATGAAAAATAAGTCTATGTATCGATACAAACGATGTATCAGTCGACACACGTGGATAAATAATAAAGCATGTAAAGTCTTTGTCTATATGTCGACGCATCCATCTCTTCAGGTCGACACATACTAAAATTTTCGTCCATGTGTCGACACATACGTGTTTCAGGTCGACACATGTACTGGTGTTGTAACTGGTTTAAAATATATAGTCTCTGCCCTTAATTTTTATCCTAAGGACTGGAATATAAAGGATAACCCTAACGTGGATAGAGATTCTAAGTTGTTGGACTCATTCTTAGACGAAGGGGAGGTATTAGACACCCCTCATCTACCTTATTCACAAGGATATTAGGGTTTAGAAGCGCAATCTTTAAGAAATAGGGTTTTAATTTTTAATTAGGGGAACTTGCCACAATTTTAGTCGTATGCATACGTATCCTCTTAGGAGAAATCAGAGTCTCTATTCGTAGTTCGTAGTTTGGTTGATGTTTTTTATAGGATTGCGTAGAATTGATTTCGAATTATCCTTGAACATTGTTTGAGTTTTGTAAAAGAGTGAACATAGACACAGTTTGTAGTTAATTTTGAAAGTAATTCTCCTTAATCCTTTTTCGAAAATAATCTTGTGATTTTGTTATGTTGGTAGAAAAATGTTTGATCGTCGGTTAGCTATTTTGAGATGTGGAGCTGGGAAAGTCTGATAAAGTATTTCTCCTCATGTGGCCAGATATTGACCATGTGTCGCTCGCGGTTGGTGAATTTGATGCATTGCACGGGTTTTAATATTTTATTTTGAATAATTGACTGATAGACGATGAGTCGACCAATAGATGAACAATCTACCAATCCCACTATAAAAAGGTTGAAATAATTTAATTTGTAATTTATGTTATTATTATTCTTGAATTATTGTATTTTTATATTTTATAACCACAACAACTAAGCTAATTATTCTAAGCTAGTAAAACTAAACTAATTTACTAAACTAATTGAATAACAGGAGTTTTAATATTTTGGTATTTTATATATTTATTATAAAAATTAAAACCTAAATTAACTTAACTAACTAATAACCTAAATGAATTTTCTAAACTAAATAAAATACATATATAGATTAGAAAAAATGCAAATGTGAAGGAAGGGTGCAGACATGAAGAGTTTAGATAGGCCCAAAGTCTAATTGAATTTTACAAATCTTAATTTTATTTTACAAGAGATAAAAAACAAATAAAAACAAGATGATGTTTTGATGTTTAGGGTGAACCATTCAACCCCTTTAGTGCAAACACAGTGGCCCAATGGCCAGTGAAAACGTGGCCATTTCACTGAGAGATTTGGTCGAGGTTATGGTGAGTATTGCTGCTGATTTCGGTCCAGATCGGAGCCTCACAGTGGAGGCAAAATGGTGGAGGAAGGTCGGCAATGATGGTTGGAGCGGAATCGTGGTGGATGGACCTGGTGCACCACTGGATTTTGCATGCGATGGCCGTGTGGGCGGATGGGGGGTCACAGTCGGCAGTTGTCTACAGATTGCGGTTTTATGATGGAACATAAATTACAAGGGCAGTTCTGATTTGTTCCTCCTTGCATCTTTTCTTCAATCTTTCCTTGTTTCCTGCAAAAAAAAATTAATTTGTGTTGTTAGTAATAAATTTACACGACGCTGGGTCTTTTGTTTGAATTTCTGTTGTTTAGGATTTGAATGAATCTTAGTTAAACTTGCAGGTTGGGATGTGTAGTTATATGTCAAGGAAAGCTTTGGATTGTGGTTTTGAAGATTTATTTGGTGGCTGTGTTTTGAAGGTTTATGTTGAAATTTACAGTTTAATGGAAATTGGAAAATTTTGGTTAGTGGAATTTTTACAGAGAGATCTTTTTGAATGAAAAAAAGATGTTGGCGATTTATAGGTTAGCAGGGATTCTATACATGAAAATGAAAAAGAAGACTTGACTCAACAAAATATAAAGGGGTTTGAACAAATATGTGCAAGACCATGTTAGGGTGAAAAATTGTTTACAATGTCGGGCGTGAAATTTGGGTTAGAAAATTGGCCTCAGAATTTGTGGAAAAAATGTACCGTGAATTAGTGTATGAATGGCCTCCAAGTAAAAGGTTAAAATTGGTATTGTAGAAGTAAAATAACAATTGTTAATACCAAAAATATGAATAAAAACTTAAAAGCATCATATACTCATAATGTGGTTAAATTAACAAACGAATTAAAGGTAATTGAAATTAAAAAAAGAGAATGGGTGGTCTCATATTTAATCATCGGTCAGAAATAAAATCGTAAATAATACTAGTAGTTTTGAATAGAGATTTTAAAAAGAAATTGTAGTAATGAAAGTTGAAAAATGTGATGCAAGTGTTAAAGTGAGTGTTTAAAAGTTTACCACAAGAGATTTGAACATGTGACCTTATGCTTGCAAGCTTCATTCTTCACCAACTGTGCTATGTTACGCATTTTTAAATAAACCCAACTGAAAGTATATGAAAGTGTTCTGGACTGGGCCCGGGTTGGCCCAAGAGCAAGAATGAAGGCCCAATTCAAACGGCTCTACAGGGGGCGCGCCGACCAAGAAGCTACAGCCGTACCCGCCACTGTCCGCGAACGCAACATCCTCGACCTCATACAGTCCAGCTCGAGTCCAGCTCGAGCACCCCCTCGTAGGGCAGACCATGATCGTTACACCCTCACCTGAACTCCGAAAAGACCGCGTCCTCGTCCGTCCGTACTTCTCGCAGAGCACCCAGGAAGGAGATCATGTGCCGGTCCCCACTACACACGTAGAACCTGGCAGTTCCTTTATTGGGTCAATCCTGGTCGGCCCAATGAAGGGACCTTGGCCCAGCGATGGGGGCTATAAATACCCTCTGTTCCAAGAGGATCAGGTATTCATTCTCTTACCCATATACACACTTTTTACCTGCTCGTACTACCACTCATTTCAGCATCGAAGTGCCTTGCAGGTGCCCCCCATCTCGTTCAAACTTCAGCTCGGAGTCAGTCGTGACGGTCCAAGTCTGATCAGATAGGATCAGTGGCACCGTATGTGGGAATCTAGCTTCCCCGTCTTGCAAAAACTCAAAGACCAAAGCTCAACTCAACTATCACCGTCATGGCTGACCAAGTTCGTGATGAACAAAACGTCTGCGTCGTCGACACCAACAACGGCCTCGCGGATAAAAATGGACACCTTGATAACGCCGGTAACCCCGGTCATAACACCATCCCTGTGTCAACTGCCCCTGGGCCCTCAATCCACCGCGACGGAGTTACCGCTTCATCCTCCTCGGTCCCTCCGCCACTCGAAGAAGACGATGCAGCTCTCACAAACTATCGAGCCGCTCAGTTTCAGGAAGTCCCTGTCCCCACCGGGGCAGATGCCACAACCCGAGCATTGTTCGCGGCGATCAATCAGACGAATTACCTCATCTTCGCCCAAGGGGAAAGATTGAGGGCACTTGAAGACGATCGAAGACCCCCGAGGAGGCACCGGAGGCCCCAGACTCCACCTCCTCGAGTAACTGAGGTCCATTTCCTGTCTCCCCCGCGGAGATACTACAGAGATACCTCTCGAAGCCCGTCACCCCGACCATCAGGGAAACGACCCCCTTTGGAGAGGCAACCCATCATCGAAGTCGGAGGACACGGTTGCGCCCCCGCAAGGCAAGAAAGAAGACACTTCGGAGACGGGCATGGAAGAATCAACCAATGGGCACCGCGCTCGAGAGATGCCCAGCACGACCAGGACCATCGTGCCCGACAGTATTACAGGTCCCCATCCCTGTCCCCGGAGCGAAGCGACGAGGACGACCCCCGTGGTCCCCTGTCGCAGGCCATCATGGAGGCGCCCATTCCCCCGGGCATGGAGAAGCCTCCACATCTGAAGGAATACGACAGAGTCGCGGACCCGGTCGGTCATATAGACGGGTTCGAGGCTATGCTGCACTATCACAACATCGGGGGACCCATCAAATGTCGGCTGTTCCCCACGACCCTCAGAAAGGCAGCAATGGACTGGTATAAAAGCCTCGCCCCGGGATCAATCACCTCGTGGCGAAACCTGAAGAACCAATTCATTAGTTCGTTCACAGTGTCTCGGCGACACCCAAAGACCGAGGCGGCTCTCGAGGCCATCATTCAGAGACAAGATGAAACCTTGAGAGAGTTCATCAATCGCTTCAACCGCGAAGCCATACAGGTCCTCTGCGCGGACCACATGGAGAGATATTTGCTGGAGAGGGGGCTCCTCCCCGGCAAAGAATTCAGAAAGGTCGTGGGTATCGAGCCACCTAGAACATTTGATGCCCTCCTCGAGAAGGCCCGGGCGTACATGGATTACGAGGAGAGAGAGGTGGCCAACAGAGCCCGAGACCCCAGGACTCACGGGTCCAACAATAACCCACGCCAGGAAGCTGCTCCTCCTCGACGGGCCGGGGAGAAAAGAAAAGAAGACAGACCCCGAGAAGTCCGAGAGCAAAGAGGACCCTCGGGGCGTTTTACCGAGTACACTCTGCTCACAGCTTCCCGCGAGCGCATTTTGGCGGAGTGTGCCAACACGGACTTCAAGGACGGCGGCGTCAAACGCCCCCGACCCGCTCCCGCCAAGCCCGGAGCAGACAAGAACAAGTATTGTCAGTACCATAGGAGCCATGGTCATCTAACTGAAGATTGCGTCCACCTCAAGGACGCCATCGAAACCCTTATTAAAGGAGGAAGGCTCGCACAATACCGGCGAAACGACGCCCCTCGTCGTGACGCCCGGGAGACAAGAGAACCGGAGGAAGACGCCCGACCATCTGACGAGTCGGTCCCCGTCCAGACCGCCTTCTCCGTGACCAGACCCGAGGACTTCAACGTCCCCGAACACCTGCAGGAGACGCTCACAACACACAGCAGGTGGGAATATTTCCCCTCCGCCATGGTCATCAATGGCGGAGGGTTCAACGACCTGACTATCAATTCGGCTAAAAGGAAGCTGGATGAACTGGTCGACGCGGCACCCCCGCAGACAGTGACATTTGAGAGGGTAAAAGGTAGGTCGGAGCCCATCACCTTCTACCTCGAAGAGCTCCCCGGGGGAGCCCCCAACGCAGTCATTCCCCTGCTGATAAGGGCACGAATGGCTAACTTCGATGTGCACCGCATCCTAGTCGACGAAGGGAGTTCCGTCGACGTAATGTACAGCCAATTGTTCCGAACTCTGCAGCTGGACGACTCCCACCTCTCGCCATATGTAGGGTCGGACTTACAGGGCTTCAACGGCTCGACCTCCAAGCCTTGGGGATATGTCGAGCTCATGGTTACCTTCGGCGAAGGCACAACGACAAGGCAGGTTAAAATACGCTTCCTCGTCGTCGACTGCCCATCTCTCTACAACTGCATCCTGGGGAGACCAACATTGGCAGAACTGACAGCGGTGCCCTCCACCGTCCACCTGAAGATGAAGTTCTACACCAAAAGGGCACGGGTAGCTACTATCCAGGGAGACCTAGCCGCTGCTCGGAGGTGTTTCAACGCCGCATCTAAGGGACGCGACACTGTCGACGTAGGGACAAGGCCCGCCAAAAGACCAGCGACGACACGACAGGAGCCCGACAAGCCAGAGTCCGCCAAGGAAGAAGTCCAGAAAGCTCCACCAAAGGTCGACTCTATAGCTCTGGACGCTCGTTTCGATCAGGACGAACCTCCCAACGGCGAGCAAGTTCCACTCCGACTAATACCGGACGGGGATTTTGAGCTCGTCCCCCTCGGTGCAGACCCGAGCAAAGGAGTAAAGATTGGCAAGGATCTCCCTGACCTGGCAAGGAAGCAAATCAAAGCCTGCTTGCGCGAGAATGACGACCTGTTCTCCTGGAGCGCTACGGAGATGCCCGGACTCGACCCAGAGGTCGCCTGTCACCACCTCGCCATAGATCCTACCGCTAAGGCCGTAGTACAACATAGACGTAGGCAGTCTCCAGAGAAAACAGAGGCTGCTGAAAAAGCTGTAAAAGACCTCCTAGAGGCGAATTTTACTTCTGAAGCCCGGTATTCAACCTGGCTGTCGAACGTTGTACTTGTTAAAAAGAATAATGGAAAATGGAGGATGTGTGTTGACTATACCAATCTCAACCGGGCTTGCCCGAAAGATGCTTTCCCTTTACCGAACATAGACATGCTGGTCGACAACTCGGCCGACTACAAAACGTTATCGTTCATGGATGCTTACTCAAGCTATAATCAAATCCCGATGGCCATGGGCGACAAACAATGCACGGCTTTCATGACCAGCTCGGGCAATTATTACTACAACGTAATGTCCTTTGGACTAAAAAACGTCGGGGCAACTTACTAGCGTATGATGAACAGGGTTTTCCACAAGCAAATTGGAGACATGCTCGAGGTCTACATGGACGACATGATCGTCAAATCTCGAGCAGACACCGATCATGCTACACACCTCAAGGCAGTCTTCGCCCAAGCGAGACAATGTAAAAAGAGATTCAACCCCGAAAAATGCAAGTTCGGAGTCAAGGCGGGGAAATTCCTCGGGTTCTACCTGACA